GCTCTTCACTTGTGCACCAGAACCACCATTTATCTTCTTCCCCAACTTATCCCTTCCTCTCTCATCGAAATCTCAACCCAAATCCATCCTAGAAATCTTGCTTACAACCCAAGAAACCTCTTCCCAAACCCTAGAGCAGACATTTTTTACAAAAAAAAATGGCTACGATGGGTCAGTTATGGACTAACACAGGCTCTGCCCTAGCAACCCTAATGTTTATATACACAATCTTCAAACAATGGTTCCCTCACTTCGGAGATCACTTGGAACCATTTCTTCAAAGACTCTTTGGTCGCTTCTATCCTTACATCCAAATAACATTCTATGAGTACAATGGAGAGCATTTTAAGCGAAGCGAAGCCTACATGGGGATCCAAAGCTATCTAAGCAAAGACTCTTCTGCTCGAGCCAAGAAACTCAAAGCCAACATAATCAAAGGAAGCAAGTCTCTTGTTCTTAGTATGGATGATATGGAAGAGATCACTGACAGTTTTGAGGATGTTACGGTTTGGTGGCAGTCGAAGAAAGAGGGGAGTAGGAGGCAATCGTTCTCGTTTTATCCTGAAGCCGATGAGAAGAGATATTACATGTTGAGGTTCCATAGACGTGACCGAGAAGTAATCATAGAGAGGTATCTTGAGCATGTTATGAAGGAAGGGAAGACAATAGAGTTTAAGAACAGAGAGAGGAAGCTTTACTCGAATACTCCGGGACAGAGCCACGGAAATCAGACAAAGTGGAGTCATGTTACGTTTGAGCATCCCGCGACTTTTGATACTCTAGCTATGGAGGAGAAGAAAAAGGAAGAGATCAAGAGCGATCTGATCAAGTTTAGTAAGAGCAAAGATTATTACAAAAAGATCGGGAGGGCGTGGAAGCGAGGGTATCTCTTATTTGGACCACCTGGTACAGGGAAATCGACCATGATTGCTGCGATGGCGAATTTCTTAGAATATGATGTTTATGATCTTGAATTGACAACAGTTAAGGATAATACACATCTGAGGAGGTTATTGATTGAGACTTCGGCGAAATCGATTATTGTGATTGAAGATATCGACTGTTCGCTTAATCTCACAGGACAGAGA